TAAAACAAGATGCATATAGTTAAAAATTCTACAATTTACTGGAAATCAGATAGTTAGGGGCAGTTGAAAAGGAATCCTAGGGTTGGTTATTTTTGGTCAACCTGCCCTTTAAACAAAAATGTGCAAAGTCAATAAAACTTAAGTCTTAGAGGACATATGAACTGAACATATTTTTCAAATATTTTTTCGTCCAAAGACATAAAGAGATTTCTCTTGATACCTAACAGAGTAAGGCAAATACACTGCGGGAAGAAATACTGCCCATTGAGAAGAAAGCAGGCATTTCTTCCACAGATGCTGGTGAAAGGAAAAATCAGAGGATTTACTTCTGAGAGGTTTATTAAATGTTGTTTCCACTCTCTGTTGTTCACTGTGGGAACTGAACCAGCTCACTTTTAAAACATTTTTTCCATTAGCTGGAATCGATTCTCAAAGCATTCCAACATATCCACCTCCAGCCTGCAACCGCTCCATTAACCCCTTCAATACATATGTAACACGCGGTCAATATTATGGCAGGCAGAATCTGTTTAATTTAAATACCATATGATACATGCCTTCTTGTCCATGGTACCACATAAGAGACTGGCTAACGGAAGGTAGTTACAAAAGCATATGGGGTGAAAGAGCTCAGGTTGGAAGAACAAATTCACCTGGATCAAGGAAAACCGATGATGATGCTGTCATCCACAAGGCAGACATTTTAAGTAACAAAGTAAACTGAAACTTTGCAGGTTTTCGACTGAGTTGAGGATGGCTTAATCATCTTATGAAAGCTGAAATAGAGACAAATACTTCAGCTTCAGTGAAAAAAGCTATAGTGGAACTAGTTCAGCAAACACCTTCCTAATAGTGGCCTCTTTATCCCCAGAGGGATTTAAGAAGAAAGATGAAAAAAGAAAAGTACAGAAACACTGTTAAAGTAAATTGAAATTTAACCTGCTAGGGTAACATACTTACGATCTTGCTTTACAAGAAAAAGAAATAAAAAAGATAACATAAAACACATGATGGCAACTATGCACACAGAATAAACTAGAAGCAACAGTGTACTTACAATCCTGCTATCATATTACGTGAACACCATCTCCTTTCACCCCAGGCTAACCCACACAAGTAGTTAGCAGGGATACTAACAGACATTATTTCTATTCTCTTTTTAGGACCTGAGGTCTGTGAAACCAAACAGAAACCTCCAATGGTAAAATGTCATTGACTTATTTCCAACAATTTACCTGTAGATCAAACTGGGAAAAGATGCTATCACACGGTGAGAAATGACAAAAGCTTGCTCACTTGAAACACAAAAATGACATTCAGCTCACATTACGCAGAGATTCAAAATATAATAATGCAACCTTTCTTGGTGTGCTCCTGGCCTGGCTTCCCTGCAGTGGGATTCAGATGTTTTGCAGGACTGTGGGCTCAGTTTTTTTTCCCCAGGGGATAGCAGTCTCCCAGAGCAATACTCCCTGGGGCTAGGGATCACCAAGCCCATAGGCTTCACTTAAAGTCACACTTGTTTCTATTCAGAATAGACTTTTCTGCATCTTCATAAATCAGATCATCCTTCTGCCTTGTTTAGAGTCAGAAGTGAGAAAGTTATGCAATTATTGCTAGCTTTAGATAACCTTCTTTGCTGGTAACTCATGGAAATCAATGGAGAAATACGTTTTGAGTTCATAAATTGAAGGCTAGCTTTTTAACCGGAGAATTCAGGTTTTCATTGAAAGAAAACAAAACATTAAAAAAAAATGGAGAAGTCCAGCTGAAAGACTTTGTAAGGGGAGGAAAAATTCAGCTTTCCAAAATACTGACACGGGACTGGAATTAATCTGAAAAATCTTTGAGAGTATAGCCAAAACCTGCCTGTAAAACACAGGTAAAACAATGTGGCGTATCCCATTTCCTGCTTTGCTCATCATCCAGCACCTTATGTTTATACCAAATACAGCCAGCCACTTAATTTTGACTGCAAAAATTGTGATTTATAACTAAATGATATAAAAAAGAAGTACCATGCTTCAGCTGTAAGCTGAGTTTAATCCCGATTCAGGCAAAATGACAGCGTGTTAATATATGTACTCATTTCATACCACATGTTTAACTGGATTGCGGTATGGATTTGATGTACGACTTCTTAATAGATTTCCTAGCATTTTCAAGTGTTAGATAATTTTGGTTCCTGTCCAAAATCATTAATCCAAAGTGAGCTATAACTGTATGTTTTTCTTTGTCTTCCGATTTTATTTCTTAACACTTCCAAGAAAAACAATTTGTCGAAGCTATTTACTTTAGAAGCTCAGTTACTACTGTACAGGTTAAAAAACCCCAAACTTTCAAAACCTTTAACCTGAAAAAATACACTCACAAGTCATGATTATGTAATGCTTACAGCTGACACAACCAGTGCTGCAAAAACCCGCCTTTCTTCCCAATAAATAAAATAGCATCTAAAGGCTCTTTTACTACTTACTAAACCTGACTTTTACTGACATATGGCTGACATTCATGAAGAAGGAGCAAACCACTAGATTTCCTCAATTGCAAGAGTTAGGGGGAAAATTCTTCACTAATTCAGTCAACTGAATTTTTGCCATGGATTTGTTAAGGTTAATGGTGCCTCTTGAACATTTTGTAAATTTACAAACCCAAAAGTAGTTTGAAAGGCCCCCAAATTAGTTCATGATAAGCGATGAAATTCTTGACCAATTTCTGCATGCTCAGCCTTGTCTGGGAACACAAGGCCACACTAATAAAATCTGTGAAAGATAAGCTAGGAATGGGAAAACACAATATAAAACTTCTAAGCACAAATAGGTGAGTTTGTTTCATCAGATTTGAAAGAACTCAGATAAGAGAGATTCATGCTTTGCTTTGGAGGAAATGAACAAGGAACAGGGACAGTGAGATGAAAAGAAAACCATGGGGGAAAAAATGGTAGAATTGCACAGAAAAGAGGTTGAATGAATAATACACAGAGGAGACGCAAAAGTGAACAGCTAAGAGAAAAATTCTAAGAAAAATGAGAAAGCATATACAATTTTATTAGAAAACTTGTAATAACCAAACTTCTATGGAAAACACAGAAGTGACATGCTTACTCTACAGCCTTGACTTTTAAAAAAGGAGTTTAATCCTGGCCTCTAGCATTAAAGGTAAAAATTCTCATAGACTGCAGCTTGGGCCTTAGAGCAAGAGTGAAATAAAGCAATAGTTCACCCGATGAATTTTTGTCTCCAGATCAATTAATTGATCTATCTGTTATGAAGTACAAGGAATATGCAGATCATGAGAGAGAGCAAAAGAATAGGCAACCAAGCTTCCAAAACAGCTTTTAAATACTTCTTTCTCCTAAGTGTGTCAGGGAAGAGAAACACATAAGAGGGGGAGGCCTCCACAAGAGCAAACTGAGGAACTATTGTTCTCTAATGACTTCAAATAAGCTTTTTAGGCTTACATGTGAATTAGAATTTTGCTCTTCCTCCTTTTGTTTAAAAAAAAAAAAAACAACCCACCAAAAAACCCTCTTGATTTTAGTAGGATATTATTCTATTCTAATGACAATCAAGTCTAGTTAGGTATCAATCAAAAGAACAAATCCATTGCAAAAGATTTCTTAAAAGATGTTCTGGGTTTCCAGTACAGCTGCTTCCCTTTTCAGAAGGAAGATAGAGTCATTAACCCTCAAATCAAACATAAACTTTGAATTGCTAAGATTTGAAACGAAAACTACCTTTCAGTCTGACTGTCTCAGTTCATGTAACTGCTCAACACCACTCTCCCATATCTAGCATAGCATTTGAGGTAAATCTATGATAATTTCAGAGGTATCAGTAGTCTTGGAGAGTGATTTAATTAGACATTTGTATGTGTTCACTATTTATTCTGCAAATGCTGTGAAGGACAGCAGTATGCTGAGCAGCTTAAACAGACTGTACTATAATTAATGATAATAAACAATTATGTCCAATAATAAACAAAAAGTTAGAGGGGAAATTCCAGAAATATTTTTTTAAATGTATAAAACACAGCAAATTGTGAAAATCAGACTTTCTTACACTTAAATGCCGTATATTTTTTTGTAAATGACTGTAGGCTTTGCCTTTTCTTGTACATATTTTCATTATGTCCTAGTTGTGCTGCTGCCCCAAAGCTGTTTCCAGCAGGTGATCTTTCACATCAGTTTCTAGCTAAACTTTACAGCTTCTGGCCTGAACCAAACTCCTTAAAAAAACATGGCTGATTCATGTTGTAGTAACCTCTTCCTTTTAATAATACTGCTGTAGTTCTAAGACAAACACCGACAGAACACATAAAAGGTAAAGAAATCACAGCTCACAACTACACCCTTTGATTTAAGTAGCCAACTAGATAGTATATACATAAAGACCCAAAAAGACCAGAGCTAAAATAAATGTTTTTGAAACAATGGCAAAAATACACAAATAAGCACCAAGTAAATCACCACCATGCTGCAGTGAAAAGCGATGAAATTTCCCATATACTGTTAGCAAATGCAAGTTGAATTCCACGATGCCCCTGCCTTCCAGGCCACTGCAGCAGCAAAAGAGACGTTGCTGCTTCTTCTGGGGTAAGCAAAGGCTAAATAAAATGATTCATTACAATTCTATGTCCTTCTGGCAGAATTACAAATTCTGCATATTATTTAGTTCTTAAAAAAAGACTGATCTGAAACCTCCTAATAGTAATCTAATTTCTACATAAACAGAATCTGAGTTTCAAGTGATTTAATGTGCAGAAAGTGTGTAAACTCCCTTTAAACCTAACAGCTGTCATTTCACCAGTAACAAATTTGGCAAAACCTTTTCTTGGTGTGCTGGGAGAGCACTTACAAAGACAGCTTGCTCACCACGTAACACTGCTGATTTGTAAAGCAAGCTATGCCACAGTCAAGGGAGACAAGATCTTACACAGACATAGAGGCAGAGGAGATCTGAATCACTGGAGTCCCTGGAAGCCTGCTGCCTTCTACTTACGGGGAAACACCCCTTTATTTCTGGCGTAATCATGCCCCCTCCGCCTGAACACATTTCCCTGATCCATCTTCTGGTTAAGCTATCATATGGAAAAATGCCTTTCTTTTTGTCTTCTGCTGTAACCCCAACGCTGGTGACAAGCAACCCCTGTGTGTGGGTGGTACGTGACTGCAAGGGAAACAGATGGTCTCAGGCTGAGAAGTCTGATATTTAACACACTTTTATAACTACTACCAGGGGCTAAAACCAAACATTTCAGGAGGGAGAATTGTCTCGTGGTAAAACTGCAGCAGAGTAAGTCAGGAAGTATCTTTTTTTATTCCTGGCAGAGCCAGTGGCTTACACCATGATCACAAGCAAGCGAGAACCTTCATACATCCAGCGGTCTCGCTGGCGAAGCTGGTTAATGATACCTGCCAAGGCGCAGGGGGCTGCAGGAATCAATTACGTGCCCAACAGCTCTGTGGTGCTCTTGAAACTAAAGATGTTCTATGGGTGAAACTTGAACAGATATGGCAGAGGTGAGTAAAGGTCTTCTGCCCTCAGACTGAATTTACAATGAAGAGCACACAGACTGACGTGTTTGCAGAGACGAGGAGGAAGGGTCCGCGTTGTGTTCTGCTGAGGGATGACCCCACAACGCTGCCAAAGTGGGGAATGGGAGGGGATATTCAGAATATCAGATTTTTTCTGATATGGATCAAGTTTCCATCACTTTTCCACAGAGACAGACTGTGGGTGGGGAAGTACATGCAACCCATCCCACCTGCTCCCTCCAGAACTCCCTGCAGCCTATTCCCTGGCTATGTGCAGGTGTAAGCGTGAAAATTTCACGTGCGCACCCTTCCCCGAGGTGTGAGGTTTCACAGGTTACATGCAGTGTTACAGGAGAACGTTCTGTCTTCCACAAAGATAAACCAACGTTACAAACAAGGTAACATTTTCAGCAAAGCTACTGGGTCGCTTTATAGTCTCAGGTGAATTAAATCTATTAGAGAGATTCACACTTTGGAAATACACATCTAAAGAAAATAAATAAACAAACAGTGAAGACTTTGAGGTACATTAGCTGCAAAAATTACCTCAGAAGCAAATGCTTTTAGAAGCCACACACATGGACAATTAGTAGCATTTTTGAAAGCTGAAAGTCTAAATAGCTGTCAGCAACTCCACCAGCAAGTGTAAGTTATTTACAACAGCAAGCAGACAGATTATCAAGATAACAGAAGCACTGATTAATTGTGTAGCTTAAACTGGCAATAAAAACAGTGTAAAGCCCTTTATGTGTGAATACTTATTTTTAAATAGGTATGTTTTGGTTCCAAGTTTTTCCTCTTTTAGTTGTTACCATTTAATAATAATAATTGAGTTAAGTTGCTCTTTTAATTTTTTAGAACATTTAAAAGTAAAAACCTGACTTTGTAGATAGCCTCAAATTTTTAAATACCAATGAGATACTTAACAAAGGCTAAGAGCTATTTTAGAGTTTGCTGCAACAGTTACAACATAAGATGCTTGCATCGCAATATTCTTCCGTAACAGTACAAACTTCCAGCCTTGATTCCAAAATATTTTATAGATCTCAGTAAAGTTTGGGTGAAGACCTTCCAATGAATTTTGGTAAGTATGGACGACTTCATGGCATGTTACATGTATTACATGCTCTTCTTTAAAGACAATTGGAAAATCTGAAGAATTTTCACATTCAGCAATTTATATTCAGAACCTTTTCCAACTGTACAGGACTTCTCAAAAAGGCAAGGAATAATTTATCTTCAAAATACCTACCCAGCTACCAGCCAGACCTCAATACGCTGGAAGTCTAGACATAAGAAGAAACTTAAGCCCTCATCCCATGAAAGATGACAAATATACTTGTTCTGGAACCCAGCTGGCTGTGGTTGCCAGCATGCAAGAAGTCTACCCTTGGCCAACAGACAACTACATGGATGAGCATGTCCTGGTTTTGACTAGCTCTGACAATAACCAGGGAGATCAGTCAGACTGGTAGGAAAGTATATAAAAGGAAGGCACTTGCAATCCCCCTGTGCCCCATGCTTCATTCAAGCTCAGAGACCTGACATAAATCTTCTTCATTGTTTCATTCCAGTAGGACCCTTGTAGCTTTTTTAAGTAAATGCCAGTTGATTATTGTTTATCATGTCTCCAAAACATGAAGTTGCAGAAAAACATCACATCTGCCAGAGGCATAATTCCTGCTTTACGACTGTTTATATTTAATCCTCACCCAAATGTAGGCTGTGGGGACACTACTGAATATTCCTCACGCTATGAGAATATAGACAAAAATCGTTTGCTTGGCCCATCAAAACACATGACGCATATACTGAAGTGAGAGATGATGGCAGCTCTTCTCTAGCAAATCCCAAGAAAGAAATTTGATGACTGATGTGCTGCTGCTGCCAGTGTGGTTTTCTGTAGGTTACATGTACAGCTAATCTCGTGTCAGTTTTCATAGTCCCAGCTGGTCAACTCATCAGGTTTGTGTACAACAGGACGCATGAACCCCCCTGACATGATAAACTCTCCAGATACAGATCTTTGCTGAACATAGGCAAAGATGCTAGATTTACTCCCCCTAGAGTTAGTGCTCAGGTGTTTCACGGCCAGGCCTTTTGCTAATATCAGTAGTCTTGATGGGCTTTTTAATAGTTTCCTCTTCCTGATAAAACCAGAGGAATTCTGGTTACTGATATACATGCCATAAAAGCCAGCCCAGTTGTTGTGTCTCTTCTAGATCAGAAACAACTTTCACTGAACAGAGAGATGCATTTTGAGTCTTCTTTTGATTTGTGCACACAGAACAAGAGGGAATAGCAGACAATGTGCAGATGGGTTTCTCCCCACTTACAGAAAGTATCCTCAGTATCTATCAATTGGTTGCTTAAGGCCATTTCATTAAGGACTGAGCTTAACCATATCTGCCATTCTTCTACTGTATTTACTTACCTTTTTTGGCGGGGACAGGGAAACATGCACACACAAAAATCATTACCAAGCAAATAAAAACCTATTTGAAAAGCAAACCTCAAGAAAGCATATTCAAGAAAGCTACTAGGTTCAGTCTCACTGCTATGACAGTAGGAAGGTCCCTCTTGACCCACGATTTCTTTTGCCCTTACGTAGGAACACACTGAGGAGCATGCAGCTCTAGGAAAAGCATCTACTCCTACAGAATAAAAGAATAATTCATATTGTCTTTGATATTTGCAGCACTGTTACAGCTCTTGGAATATGAATACTTTGCACTATACTTTAGGTATTTGTGCATATGCATACAAAATTACTGTTAATAAAAATATAAATATGTCAGGAGAAGTACATTTTAATATTACTTTATGAGTATCTATTATACTTGTGACATGTCCTTGCTGTTTACTAGAACTCAAGTGAGAAGGTACTGCGTCTAGTGTTGCCTGTGATAATTTAAATCTCCCTAGGGATAAGGGTGCTAAGCTTTCTGCAAGCCACTTATTCTTGGCACCAAAACTGAGCAATTACAGCTACGTCTCACACTTTGTCTTTTAAGGATGTGGCACATTTATTACTTGCAAGAGGAAAATGACTCCTGCAATGATGTTTTAAAATCACTGGGATCAGACAAAAAACAAAGTGCTGGCTATAAATGACAAACTTAAATTTGTATACAGCTCCTATGTCCATGGTATGTAAGCACAAAAGCCCCAGGCAGAAAAGTATTCTTTTCTTGCTCTTTCTCTTAGCAGGTCAGAGGTACTACGGAAATTTCAATCAACAGTTTGGAAAAGGTTCCACAAACATTTTGCTTCTGTACTAACAACTACTGGGTATTGACCTAAAAGTTATTATTTAAAATTCAATTGCAGATATAAGGTGCAACGATAAGTTGCAATCTCCAGAACTACAAGAGTAGCTAATGGGAGCTTGTTTTAGACTTGTAAATTGTAAAACCATAGACTTAAGTCCTGCATTGCACATGCCTAACACGTAACTGCAAAATTCACAGCAGCTTGGAAAAAGACCTCAAAACACTAAGAACAAAACCAAAACTTCAATAACCAACTATGTGCACAAGCGTAATTAGGAAATTGGTGTTCAGCTGCAAAATGAAAATGTAACACTGAATGCATAAAGCTGTCCAGTAAAATATATTAATTGCATCAAATGAAGGATATGATAATTACAAGTACTTTCCATAAATCTGAAAAGTAATGTAATAGAAAATAAACAGCCAATAAAATATGAACAATTTGGAAAAAAATAATTCAAGCTATTACTTCTGAAATACAAAACTATATTGGTCTCATTAATCAGTTCAGAGCGTTGTATTAATGAATGGAAATTACTTCCTTGTAAGGTGTTTCTTTTACAAGGTAGTGTCTTCTGCAGAGTCAATGCATCTCCTTTCTACATAATGAGTACGAAAACAACAAAAGAAAATATCTGTAATTAAAAAAATTAAAGGGGTATACAGATTTGAAGGATTATAATACTAAACGTGAAACCCACTTTGTTTTTTTTCTTTTTTTTCACTTCTTCATGCGGTTGATTGTAAATCAACCCAATATACCCTGGGTAATTCGCACTGTTGTTACACAGCATCTTATTGCACCATACATGTAATAATGACATACTGAACATATGGTTGAGAAATATGATTGAAAAATTCCTAGACTGATAAACTGATAAGATAATCACAAGCAAAATTCTCATGAGTTTCTAAAATATGACTAGAGATGAAAAAAATTGTAAGTTATTTTACTTGTGTTTTAAGAAAAGCAACTTAAATATTCCCCTCCTCTTCTTTTTTTTTTTTGAGAAATAATAGCCTCTAGGCAATGAAATCCCTTAAAAATGCAAACATCTGGGAAAGGAAAAAACAAAGCACAATAGCAAATGTGTAGAGACAGCCACTCAGACATGTCAAAGATGTTTCTACCAGCATACAAGAGAATTAAAAAACACTGAAGAAAGAATGGTAAAGGAGATTTAAAAAAAAAAATGGAGAAAAAAGACTGACAAGGTGTCGTGGTTTAACTTGGCAGGCAGCCAAATACCATGCAGCCG